TACTTCAACCACATCAACAAGTACCTCTACAACTGACACTACAACATCAAGTACTTCTACAACTTCAACCACGACAACGAGTACTACTACAACTATAATGTAGTGACATTGTCATCTGGACATTTCCATGTATACATGTTCTTTTCTATTCTATACTTAGTTCTTTTCTTTTTCTTTTGTATGATATCTATTATCTTTTCGATCTGTGGAGTAGTTCCTTTCGTACTGTGGAACATTCCAATACGTTTCTTTCTATATATACCTATATCTGATCGTTCTTAGTATGTGTATATCTATCTGTCCATTTTCACTACCTTTCTCTTGTTGTTCTCCCCCGTTTTGGTTAGTTAAAATACACTTTTATTTTATCTTGCATTTCTTTCCTTGATCCTACATCAAGACAGGACAACAACAATTTCATTTCCTCAATTCAATACCAGAACTTCGTCCATGATAACAATTACTACAACTTCTCAGACTTGCTACTGTTCTAGCTGTATAATACGAGAATGTGGGAGCAGGTTTAAGATATAGATATATATCAATGGTATTTCTAAGATCTCTATGTATGTGAATGAGTCTAAATATATATTCTAGTGCTTCGAAAATAACTTGTTTTTAAGTGATGAGAATCAAACTAAGTTGAAACAGCGGGTAAAAATTCGAATTTCAAAAATACTTCAGCGCGTCGATGTGTAGGTATAGATGAAGGTGTGGATATAAATGTGGGCGTCGATATTTGGTGCATCCTTTATTTTCATTCTTGTTTTGATCAACTCCATCATTTCACGCCCATGTACACATCCACATCATTCCTACGCTTCTTTTCTTTGTAGTAAGATATAAAGTTGATATCAAACTGACATATCTAATCTCGAGCGTTTTATTTACACTTTCATTATGTGTACTCGTATTTGTCGTTAATATTTTAATATAAAATAACAATTAATGTAATACAATAGTACTACAGAAAATATTTTATATACAGTGTATACAAATTAAATAGGAATATTCACGAAATACTCAATATTATACAACGAATACTCGTCTGTTCTTCTCATATTTTAGTCGTAGATCTACTAATAAGTATATATCTACAAATACCTTCGCTAGAATGAACAATACTTACAAAACTTAATCTAGATGTTATGTTCAAGAGATATGATAATCGATTTTGTATTCACAATTAACAAATCATTCCTAGTCATCAACAGTTTAATTTAGTCGCCTTTTTTTGAAAAGTTTAATTGAATGTTGATTTACATTCATAAAAATTCTTTTCTATAAATAATGATTTATTCATAAATTAATTTCCGTATTTTTAATCAGTTCTTTGATTCTTGCCAGTGATTACTCGTGCCATTTTGACAGCTGGAAACGTCTGTCCATTCTTGATTTTCACTTCACAACCTATTTTCGTGAATCCACATTTTTCAAAACATTTTCACTTGCAAGGTTATCAGCGAGATATCCTGCTTCAATTCTAATATCATGTTCTGTACTAATCCGTTCTATCATTATGTTTAAAAATATTTTGACTGCTGCAGTTGTAATACCATTGTTCCAATAGGGTCGAGCCAGATAGTATCCCAATTCATACGTAGAAGCAATCTTTTGAGGTATCAGACACAATTCACCGATCATTTTTTTATTATCACGAATTGCAAACGTCGTAGGATATTCACTGACTAAAGGTCGAGAAGAAATATAATCTTTGATTTGATCCATTGTGATGGGAAACGGTGGGCCAATAAGATATTTTACTGTCTCTTCATCATTAAGATGAATAAACATCTCCGAAGCATCATCTGTAACTAAAGGTGATATTGACAAGTTCGGGAATTTCGAATGTGGAAGATCGACAGAGAAATTCATCTAAAATATTATCTGTATTTATTTAAAATATAAATACAATCGCTATGAATTTTTTCCATAGTTCTCTTTCCCATTGTGTGCTTTTTATAGATTAAAGTTGATGGAATTGAATGGTAAAATACCAATAATCTTACACAGAAGCCGTGTCTGCAACATTGATATGACTGTAAGAATTTTCACAAAAAATACAATTGTATAAAAAAATCAATTGTATATTACACCCATGCAAAATAAACTTAAAATCTGGTGTCTAACTAAAAGACAACAGGATAAAAATGAGATATCGTTTAGCTGTCTAGAATTTATGAATTTTTCTTGTAAAACAATATAAAAATGTCTGACCCTGAATACAAATCTAATGTTCGTAAATGCAGCTCTCTGTAAAGTTGATGGCTCTTATCAATTAATGATTGAAGAAAAAGAGTCAACACATGAGTAGAGTAAATATTTTCAAATTTATTATTTTAATCTTATTGAGAGAAAAATGATTTATTCGGTTTTTTATTACATTGTCAAAAGCTCTTCCCAGAACATAGATCACATTCACAATTTTCTTAAATCTAATGGTTTCGATTATATAGAATCTCATTTTTTGTTCACTATTAATCTTACATAAATGAGGAACCTAGTCGAAAATCATCTTCATTCTCGCTGTGTGTGAACAAACAAATGAGAATTACTTAGCACAAACGTTTTTTTACTTACCATAATTTACATACATAATGTTATCGTATAAAGCAAAGCGCGACAAGAGAATTAAAACAAAGAATATTTTACATTGCATGTAAAAGATATCAAATCGAGTTTGTTAGCACAAAAAAGATAAGAAATAAGAGTAAGTGAAGAATATTTCAGTTACCAGTAAACATTTTAAGTCGATGAAAAGTCTGATACAAATTAGGCTGTGGATGAGAGTGTTCTCACATGCACATAATAGATCAAATTGGATCACTTTCAAAGTGTTTATAGTCTTTTTCTGTTAGGGAAATGTCAAGATTCTTAATTCTGTTATTATTAAAAACGAGTTTCGACCAACTTCTTGTTTTTCTTAATGTAACTATTGTGGACTGTCTGTACTTTTTCTTTTACTTTTATAAGACATTTTCCAATGGGAGAAGAATTCCAAAATTCTGACCAATACACTGGCGATAAATAAGTGTATAAATAAAATGTTAATGCAAATGGAGCAATTTGTATAACATAAAATGCCACAGATATACGAGCGACCAACGTTGTGTTAGCCATTGAACATGTCATAATAAAATCCATCAATACATTAGGTAACTGACCGAGAGCTTGAATTAAATAAGGTATAAAAAAATCTTTATGTTTACATAGAATGACCCAAAGCTGAGTAGGTAATGAATCATTATCTGTAAAACGTCGACGATGTCTAAGAAGATGTCCTAAGACTATAATGTTCATTATAATATAGAGAAGATAGAATGCAAATAGATGAATACGTGTAATAGTTGCATATAAGATATATCCAAGGTGAGTGAAGTTGATGCATTGAACAGGTCGTAGTTGTGGTGGTTGATTTTGACGAACTGTGAAGATTCCAGGAAGTGTAGTTAACGGACATATGATTATAATAATAATAGAGACTATAAATGAACGACGCCTCGAATCATATAGATTACAACTTGTAAAACATTCAACTAACATTCTTTCTATAGCAACATTGGCAATAAACCAATTGTACATAGCAATAAGGGATACAGTAACAAATTTTGACATAATAAAACAATAGAAATCAGCAAATAAAGATGGTTGTGGTAATTTCTTAACATATGGAATTAGTGACGTAAATACAATTTGTAATAAACCAATAAATATTGATACAATTGACAGCATTATCAAGTAGATTCCTAAGTTTGTTATACGTATTTTTTTGCATAAATATGTCTGTAAACATAGTATTCCATTTAATATAAGAAATCCACCAAATAAACCACCAAGAATAGCTTGAGTTGTCGCTCCACCTATGGTTACTTCATCGAGAGGTACAAAAATAGTCCATAAATTTCTAGATACTATTTCTTCTTCACATTTTTCACCAGTAAAACAAGGTAAACACAGACATGTAGGTTTAATTTTTTCATTAAAAATACAATAACCATGATTTTCTACACAAGTGTTGTTCTCTGAATAACATAACGTTAAATTGTAAACATTTAAACAGTGAGAAATATCTTTTACACACTCATTGACATCCATTTTCTTACTTGATAGTTCGGGTACTTTTTTCTTTTTATAATAATATTACTTCCTTTATCTGATTTACTTTTTCTTCGGAACAGTAGGAGGGACATGATATAAAGTAATATATATATATACTCCGATACCAAAAAAAAATATACATATTTCTTTTTCTTTTCCTTTTTATGACTCATGTCAAAGTCGATATCATGATTCATGATTTCATTTTTTTTCTTATAAGTGAGAACGTGCGTTGATAGAGCTGTGTCTTTTCTTCATATGAATAAAACCAAAATTAACTAAAACATTTTGCATCAAATAAATGGGATTTTTAATATATGCAAGAAAAGAAGAAATGAGAACGTTTTTTCAGATCTATTATGCCCATCTACATTATAGTTGCATTTGCGACTGTAAAAAGACTTTGTTCTCTCATTGAAATGTAATGAATGTGAAAATTGAATAATTGTTCATACTCTTCGACCAAATCTTCAGAATGATCACCTCACTTGGATGTCGAGCCGGCGATTACAAAGGTAGCATATAAGACGGAATTATCTGAAGTGTTGGTATAGAACGAACTTACACTCTCAAGCCGTTTCAGGATTTTTTACAATGAGAAAACCAATGGTCTATTTGAATAAATCAATATTTTTGGACTATAATAACTAAGAAGAAATAGAGAAGTAGTAGAAATAAAAAAATGATGTTATTATCTATATATTTCAAACAAATGTTTTAATGTAGAAGGAGTATAATACTGTTGCTCTCACATATTCTAACTCTTGAGCAGTATCCACTCATATTGTATTGATATTATGATATCCTAGCTCCAATAGTATGTTCACAACCTATTGTATGTAATTATGTAAATATGTAACTCTATAGTACGAAGTGAATAAAATGTTATATGCTAATTATGTTTTAAACTTAAAATTTACTCTTTTTCTCTAATCTTTGTATATTGACTGCAGTAGCAGTATGTTTGAAATAGAATGTTATCTTTTACTATTTGTCAGTAAACTGAAAGTGTGCATTTATATATCAAGGGTGTGGGTGTGGGTGTGGGTGGGATAAATACAGTACTCTCACGCTATATTGAAATTCACTCGTCAATTTCAGGAATTATATAATGAAACTTATCAACAAATTCAGGAAAATAAACGTACGTTTAATTCTTTCTTTGATAAAAATAAGAAAACAAATAAAAAATTCGACTTCAATAACTTCACTAATCATGAAATAAATATGTTCAAATCGAGTTTTTTTCAAAAGAATACTCAATAAAATTGTAAAATGGTATCATAAAAACAAGGAAATACACTATGTTTAGTAAAAGAATGTGTTTAAATTCATGTTATATTTCGTACGCGTTCCAGTGATATTGATTTTCGATAATATACTCATAATCAGCTATAGTGATTTTTTCTATCGAACTAAAAGATTTCAAATATATTAAAAATAGATAAAGAGGAGTAATATAGCATGTTTATTTATAGTAATAGGAGGGGAAAAGTCTTCAGAAAGTATTTATTCGCCAATATTATCGTCATTATTTCGATTATTTATACTTCGATCAGAATTGTAAACATCGGTATTCGTTGGATTTCGTCGACTTGCTGGTGAGTCATTGTATTGATCTTTATTACTTTTATTCTTATCAATAAATTTATCTTCTTCGTTGTATTCAGGTTTTCGATGGTTCGGTTTTCTATGTCGATGATTTTTATCTTCATGATGATGGCGATGATGATGATGATGATGATGGTGATGTTTTCGATGATGTTCATGACCATGATGATGTTTACCATGTTTCTTTTTCTTCCAATGTTTATGTTTTTGCATATGTTTATCCTTCTTCCAATGTTTTCTCTTACGATCTTTTGATGGTAATAATTCGCCTGAATCATCAAAATCTTCATCATTGTTTCGATTATATGGCTTCGTTTTATCTGGTCTGTTATTACGATTATTTTTTCTATCATGCATATGATCTCGTCGATTTGCTCGATCATTATTATCATCATCATTATTTCGATCAAACGATTTCTTTCTATCTGGTGTATTGTTGCGATTATTTTTACGATCTGATTTATCTCCGGTACCATCATTTTCTGTTCCATCTATTTCCGAATTGCCATCATCTCCAATTGTATTCAAAGTACCCTGGTGTTGTTTTTTTGTATTTTCATGTTGAGCATCAATTACTAGAAAAGCAAAATCTGTAAGTTATATGATCTATTAACTCGTGTTGTTAAAAGAAAAGCGAGATAAAAGTAATTATGATTGTACGTTCGTTTTTTTTTATTAAATTCGTATAATCAATTTAGTTTATTTTAACAAAGATATCTATAAAATTATAGACTTTTTACCTGTCGATATGGCCAATATCCATACAAATAATACAAATAAAAACAATGCTGGCGAAGAGAGAAGTTTCATTGCAATCAAATTTGTTTTTTTTTACATATGTATATAGAAACTATGTTTGTTAATAGTATATTAATACAAAGAGCATTACATGATGAATCGAATTTTTTTCTTCTTTTCTCTTACTTTATAATTGAAAAACAACAATAAATGAAACGCAAGAAGATAAGCAAAGGTTATTGAATATGTCATTTCATGTGTTCTTCTATTACATGAATATTTTAATTATTACCGTTATATTTTTATATTGTTTACAATGAATTTGTTTATTAATGAAACTACAAGGAGATATTGTTTTATTTAAAAAACTAATAAATCTTCACATTCAGGTAAATTATCTTTTGTTAATATAAAACAAAATAAATGTCTACTCATTCATCGTTTTGTTATTCTTATCTTTCATTTTTTTATTTTGTGTTGAGAATGTGCGTATCGGTATAGGAAGAGCCAACGTTAAAATGCATTTCTTCTTATTTTTAAATGATTTATTCAAAGAAAAGCATATCACATTGACACCGTTAAGATTAATTATGTTGATAATTTCATTTACATGTTCTGGAGACGTATTTTCTCTTGCATGATGAATTATTATTTGTAATTGTTGTGCTTTTTCAATAACTGCCATCTTTAAATCGAATATTTGTTGAATATATAGATTGATCTCATCAGTCGTTATTAGATGTTGATGACCATTTGATTTTGTATTTCGAATAACTCGACCTGTACCAAATTCATGCTCTATTCGATGTCCATTCAGAAATTGATCACCAAACATTGGCAAAATTAGCATAGGTTTTTCAGCAGACATAGTCTCAAGAACACTATTCCATCCACCATGTGATACAAATAATTTCACTGCAGGATGAGAAAGAATAAGTGGTTGAGGTGCCTAATCAAGAACGAGATGCATTTCATCATTCGATTTTGGTAAATATTTATGACAATCATTTTTCAGTGATCACCTTGAAGAGTGATTGTTGTTTCATTGGAGATCCATTATATTACATATTTTTTTCTATATAAAACCTTGTAATACAAAGTTTGCATTAACGCTCTTTTTTATTGGACTTAAAGTAAATTTATACCAGATTTTTGCTATTGGCTTTCCATGATAAGTCGTTTGAAAAACATTAAGATTCTATAATTTATTCTTGTTGAGATATATGTGCAAATCTATGGTAATTATTCATACGATATTTTTTGCTTGGTTGTCATGCTGCCTACGAGTTATTACTCATGCTGTTGAAAATGATTGTATCTTAATCTTGTGGCAACGAACTTTTAGTGACGCCACCTTAAAAATAATTGCTTGTTTTGTGTGCAACATTGAAAAGTATTCTTGTCATGATTCACTTTATTTTTATAACAGCAAAGAAAAGCATAAAGGTACTTTATTCGATATTTTTAACCTAAGCATGAATCATTTATTTCTAATAATAAAATACATGCAAGAAGCCTTCAAGTTGAATCATATATGTTGTTTGAATAACCGAATAAATACAAAAAGTGCGAGGGCAAATATCCATGCTGTATTGTATATAAAAGAATATGTTTCGTTTCATTATAATAATCTTTTGCTTCTCAAGTTTATCATTTGTATATGATCACTAATCTAAGGAAGCAAGATTTTATTCCATCAGATAGTATAAAATCTTTACTAAAGATTTCATTGTCTAATTTCTAGATTAACAATTTTTCACTAAAATACATATCATCGATCCATTTCGTATAAAAATGAGTCATATGCTTGTTCAATCATTCAGTAAGTAGTGATCAATCGTATATTTTATTTACTAGATCTTTTAATATAGAATTTCAAATGACTCCATCATCATCAAATGAGAAACAATTCAGTTGTGGTGGTGAACAATGTAAAAAATGTGGTGCATGTCGCGACTGGTATCAACGTCGTAATAGTGATGATATTATCAAGCGTTGTAATGCTACTTGTACTTGTGATTATATGTTTCGTCATAATCTTGTTCGTCATCCTGTTCGTTGTGATAATGGATATTATCCTATTCATAGTTTAATATGTATGTGCAAAGAAAATGGTTGGAAATAACATTTCTTCTATTGAATATTTCTCTAGTCAATTCAAACATACCTCGAATTCTTATTAAATTTTATATCATATTACAATAAAAGTATTTTTTACATAATTAATTTAACTTTCTCTGTTATCTTTCAGATTTTTTCGCAATAGATTCTGCTGATATTATTAATTAAACTAGAAATATGATGAGTGTGGGTAATGAAAGTAACTGATCATGAAATCTGCTCATTTAGCTTGTATTTACTGTTCTTCCTAAAGAATGTCAATGTTACTATATGACTGCTACTTTAATAACAAACAGGTATTCTAGTTGATATGAATTTTCATAGTTTAACAATGAATGAAATTTATTAGAAAAGTTTTTAACCTAAAGAATTTACTTTTAAATACATCTATAGTTCTCTTTTTAAATCAGATTGAAAGTATTTGCTGGATAAAAATGTTTTCGGAGAATTTGTATAATGCAAATTAACCAGATCGAAATATTAAGAAGAGAGAAAATAAAACAGTAATATCAAAAATGCATTGTCTAACTACATCTATATTATAGAGACGAAATGAACATGAATACAAAGAGGCTGAAAAAAGATACTTTGGTAAGGTATTATATATGAATAAAAATGATGTACTATAGATTTTGAAAATATGAAAGTTAAATTTATGTCTTTAAGAGATATTTATATAATATTGAAAATGATTATTTAGAAATTGGAAAAAATAAATGATCTTTATGTGTTAGTTCTCTTTGCAATTGGTCATATCCGTCTCATCCATTCAGGTTATGAACCAAGCATAGCTCTATACAATAAAGATGTCCAATTATCTTTTATTATAACTCAGTGTAGAAGAATATATGAAGAAAAAAATCTCTTCTCAATTGTAGTAGAAGTATTTGAGGAAATCTGTCAATGAACGTTATATAGCAAATGTTAATAATTCCACTGGCGATTCAGTTGTACCTATCGATATGCTCAAATATTTCAGATCATACTCCAAACAAGTGAAAAATTGTTTTATTATTTACATATTAAGTGTGGATAATTAGTTTCTTTATAGCTATAGAATTGTAAAAATAATGAACAATGTTTAAGACAAAATTTCAGAGACTATTATGGTATTATCGAAAATATAAAATGTATTAAAATATTTACATAAAGCTTCTTTTTTTTGCTTGTCCATATATAAATATTAAAACAAAAAAAGGTTTACATCATCTGTTTCATTTTATCTGTATGACGCATGATATAATTTGCATAAATGTATTCAATCCTTATTATACAGTAAATAGTTGCATCTATAGAAATAAAATGTATTATTTTAATATGGTTCAATGCATTTATGATGCGTATTACGATTAAGATTATCGAGTGTAAAAATATACATTATATACGCAAATGAGTCATTGATCAGCGATAAAATTTCGTTTTAGACTAGAATGTATATATCTTTCTCATTGTATATATAAAATGAAATACATATAAAATGATTTTTTGAATGAGAATATTATTGTTTTATTTTTAGAAAAACAAATAACAAATAATAGTGTAAGATAATATAAGGTGATACTTATTCTTTTAATAATAATAATCATAGTTATTCTTTTTCTTATGCATCTTATTGGTCATTGTTCGCCATTAGTTGTAAATAATATTATTCATGGATTAGCAGCTAAATATACATGTTCAAACGTCTTTATAGGCGGTAGTACAGTAGAACAACAACGTACAGTAGACATTGGTTCAGCGTCTTATTTGAATAATGTAACAATTATTGTTAATCGCACTGATTCATCAGTAATTGCATATACTAAAGGATCTACTATTCGTAAGGCCATATATCGTCCTGGACTTGGTGCAACATTGATTAGTGACTATGCAGAACGACAAATTCGATCTCAAAGATTTAATTTACCATCACCACCTAATATCAATCAAGATTATATTCCATGGCCTATGGGTGATAAAATAGTTGATCATAGTTATCCATCAAATGTCAATCGAACAGCATTGGAAAATGCTATCGACAGTTTATTTATTGAAACAAATCCAAAACTACCAATACGTACACATGCTGTCGTTGTTGTCTACGATGGAAAAATAATTGGTGAAAAATATGCTTCAGGTTTTTCAAAAAAATCTAAAATTTTAGGTATGAGTATGACAAAGAGTATTACTGGTACTCTTATGGGCATCTTAGTGCAACAGAAGGGATTAAATATTGATGAACCTGCTCCAGTACCTGAATGGAATAATATTAATGATTCACGTCATTTTATAACAATCAGAAATTTATTACAACAAACTAGTGGTTTAAATTGGAACGAACCATATTCTGAACACAGTGATGTATTACGAATGTTATTTATGACAGGAGATATGGGTCATTATACAGCATCACTTCCATTAAAAGATAAACCAGGTAGTCAATTTGTTTATTCAAGTGGAAATACGAATATATTATCGCGTATTATTCGTCATCAACTTGGTGACAAGAAATATCATTCATTTCCTTATGAACTCGTGATTGGGCACGTTATGGCCTACTATATTATAATCGTGGTGTATTCAATAATAAACGAATATTATCTGAAGACTGGATTGATCAATCGATTGCATCAAGTGATGGTTATGGAGGTGGTCGATATGGATTTCAATTTTATTTAAATAAACCAGCAAATAAAAATACGACAAACCGACGATTTCCTAATGTACCTACAGATACATATTATGCTGTTGGTGCCCAAGGACAAGATGTATTTATTATTCCATCGGAAAAATTAGTAGTAGCTCGTCTTGGTGCAACAACAGCAGCTGATTATGAGTGGGGAGCTGATGAATTTTTACAAGCTGTTATTAATTCAATCGAATAGAAACAATTGACTCAGCATATTTTTGTATCATATTTTATTATGTAGTAGATAGTATCAGAATATTATTCAATCAGATTTAGAGTGAATATAACAGTTGATGTTAGGGTGTAGGTGTAGTATGAGAGAAGAATGACATATGCATCCACACCCACACCCTGTTTTCTGACAAAATAAAGAATTAATTTAAAAAAAATTTCATTGAATCATTTTTAACAATAAAATTGTAACTATTCTAGAAAGAAGAACATTGAGATAACTAATGAACATACATCCGATTACATGACGTAAATTTTTAGATATATAGCTTGATTAAATATTTTATTTTATTTTCATGAATTTCGATGTTACAAAAAAAAAGAATTTAAAATCTATTATTCACGCTTAATATTTTTGATGGCATTACTAGTTTTATTTGTTTGTTGACCTCTTAGGAAATTAATTTCATAAGTTTCTGGACGTCCAGGAAAATGAATATCAACAGTTGATGATCCTTGACCTGATCGATATGACTGAAATCCTTGTTCAATTTGATTTTGTACAAGTAATTCATAACGTATCCAATTACCATGTTCATTACAATAAAACCAATTTAAATTATCTGCTGGTTTTTGCAATGGTCGACGATCAATCAGTCGTTGATAGGATGTTCTGGTATTCATTTGCCGATTTTTCTGAAAATCAATTTGATAGGTTTGAGGAGTATCATCTATATAACGTGTCACTGGTGGAGTAACCACTTCAGATAGTCCACGATTGAATTTCCAATGTTCATAAAACTTTTCAAGTATTTCATTGATTGTATCATTATATGGTTCGAAACTTCCATTATCTTGCCGCCAATACCATCGAAAAGGTGCATTCCAGGATGGTTCATTATCAATATATTGTGGAATGTTAAGAGGAAAAGGTGATAACCTGGATGCAGCACTGGGTCCATAAGTAACAATCAATACTGGTAAATTAAACGCATATGTCCAATCAACTGGATTATCAACAACATAACAGAAATTTCCATGCGTTGTAACTTGAGTACATCGAAGAATGAAAGAAATGAACATTTGACTAAATCCAGCTTGCGTACCACCCTTTTGAGAATAACTATGAGATACAACAGCTGTGACTCCAAAATATTCTCCACGACCATATACTTGACCTGATCGACGTTTTGGATCAAAACCTGTTTGACTAATCGCATCAATAGCTTGAAATGGACAACCATGATAAGCAAAAAATCCTTTTGATAAATCTGGTGGAAATGCATGACCTAAAACTTCATTGCCTTTATAAAATCTTGTTAATGATTTATATTGTTTTTCTAAATAAGGATTTTCATCAATGCGACCAATGGGTCGTACTGATTGATCCAATGGCCAATTTTCTTCAACAAATTTTTTTGCAGCAAGAAAAAGTTGTGGTAAAAATTCTCCTCGTCGTTTCTTTTCTTGTTCAAATTGAATACATGTTCTACCAAGATGAAGTTCATCATCAATAGTTTGACATTTCGAACAAACATTTTGTCCACATGTTAAACAAGTTTGATATTCATTACTAAGTTTAATTAATCCTTCACATTCATCATTTGGACAAAACACACGATCATCTTGTTGAGCATTTTTTGTTAGATAATCTTGAATCGAATTTTTTAATAAATGTGTTAATAATTGTTGATTATTATTAAAAATCATTTCAATATCACGAATATGAATATTTGTTTGACAATCTTTACATTGCAGTGGAAATGTTGAAGTTGAAGCAAGAGACTGAGCTGCACATCGACAATAAGCATGTCCACATATTCGAAATAAACTTGTTGAAATTGATGATTTTTGTTTACAAAAAACACATTGACGTTCCGTTCCAAAACTATTCACTTCTGCTTCATTATCTTCATCATCTTCATCATCACTTTCAATATCATTTGTATTCGCAGTAATTTCATCCAAAAGTTGAAGAACTTCATTTTCACATAAATTTAAATCTTTTAACGAAACATTTGCTTTCCCAATAATTGTAATTGTCGCTGTTTTTGAATTAAATGAAACTGAACATAATTTTGATGACCATTTTGAATCAATTTGTTTTAATTTAACAGATGCTGCTTTTTCTCGACCAAAAAATGTAGCTACAATTGTACTAAGTTCATGTTCACGAAAACGTGTATCAAAATCATCGGAGTAATCTGCAATACGTCGCATAAATTGTCCTTGAGATGTTTGTGGACCACGAATTTCAATATTTGTAAAATATTTATTTGCATTTATTTGTAAAGATAAATCGCGTGCCCATTTATGTATTTGACCAATTTCTTCTAATTCACGAAATAATTGTTTTTGTCGTTCAGTATTTAATTTAATATTAATCGGAGCAAAATTTTGTGAAAGCATTGATGCAGCTAAACTTGTTTTTTGTGGACTTCCATGACTAAATATACAACGTTTGCCAGGAGGTTTTGGTATATCTTTACATTTAACTTTAACTTTAAATTTCTCACAAATACCATCGAGTATTTGTTGAAAATTTGGATATAAATCTGTTCGAAGAATAGTTATTGTTGCTGATCCATCAACAATCCAGTCTGAATTTGTTGCTGTTTGTGATGATGTGTATATTTTAAGAGCAGCTTCACGATTGATCAAAACAATACGAAAGAAATTTTTCGGAAGATTTTCAGCAGTATCAGATTCATCAGTTTTCATTACTTTAGTTTGAATAAGTTTTGGTGGACCTTTTCTACCTGGAATAGTTATAGGGAATGATGTTTGACATAATTCTAATTCATATCGAGATGCAGCTGCATTACGTTCTGTTTCATTTTGAAATGTTATTTTAGCCCATCCAGTTAAGTTATTTGTTGTACGTCCAACACGAACGTGTTTAGGAGTTGGACCATTATTTGTTTGAAGACATTGACGAAGATATGCTTCATCAATAGTTATAGGTAAATTATCTAATTTTAGAAATTTATCTTTCTTTTCATTGATTAATATACATTTCATGATACTATCATTACCATATCGTTGAATAATATCATCAGCGGTAATATTTGATGGAACTTGAATAACGAGCTCACGACCCCAACTTTCTTTTTCATTCTCACGAGATCTTCCAAATTGATTTTCTTGTTCAATTAAATAAGAAGAAGAAATTTTACTAATTGTACATCGATATGTATCTTCGCTCTTGAAAACAATATAAACATGTTTATTATTTGTATTCTTGTCTGTATGAAATCCATGTTCTTTAATTTCATTCCATTCAATTCCCATCATTTTTTTTATCCAATCTTTTAATTCATTCGTTGTTTGACAAGGAACATTTTGAAGATTCATTTTCAATACACTAGACATTTCATTAATACGTGTACAAACTAAACCACTTTGAAATTTAGCTTTAATTGGTCCACATTCTAATACATCATAAATTTCCGAAAGCTTTTTCATAATTTCATTTTGACAACGTTGAACAACAGGTAGTATTGTTGATTTAGTTGTTTCCGGACCTGAAATCATAAATCGACATTGTGTTCGATCATATTGATAAACAATCCATTTTGCCCATGATTCCGATTGATAAGCTTTTAATTTCTCACGAAGAAGATTCGCAAATTCTGAACCAATACAATTGATTGTAGTTAAATTTTGTATTGATGATTGTATAACAACATCTGATTTTGGTATTGGATGAAGTCTTTCAATAATATAATTTCCTGTTGGTAATTGAGTAATTGTCATTGCAACAAAATATTGATAAATATCTCGATCTGCATCTTTATTAAGTTTTTGCATGAATACACTTGTATTTGTAATATTTGCACGAATATCTGTCGAAACTAATCGAACACCTTCAATGGGTAATTCTGGAACAAGTAAATAACCACATTGTTCAGGAAAAAGTTTAGCAAGATGAATACCAAGAATTTTATTTGTATCTTCAGACATTTCATCGCGGGGTTGAAGCCAACGTGCATTTCGAATCTGTTTCATAATTGATAAACATGATGTATAAATATGTTGTAAAATTTTATTATTTAAACTATTTGCATTACTATATTTTATTCGACATATACAATATTTAATTAATTTTGAACATTTTGAACATTTTCCTTGTGATTCATTTCCACTTGCATTTTTCCATGCATTATAAACTGAATATAAATGAATTAAATCACTTTTATGACTATGTGCTTGTAATGCAACACGTGCTCTTGCTTCTTCTTTATTTCCACCCATGAAAAAAATTGTTCCAGGTGCTGAAAGAATTGCAACAATAGCAACGACAAGTTCTAATAGAGTTTTATATTCCATATAAATATCAATAATAAAAGAACTTAGACGAGGATCAAGACTAAGTTCGGTAAATAATTCACCACGTTTTGTAATTTTTTGTTCATTGATACATTGAAGTTTTGTAAGAAGATCGAGTGAATTATGAATTGTATCTGAAGGTGGTTGATCCATAAATGGGAAAGTTTTTGGATTAAAATTCAAACGAATTAATTGTAGAAGAACAAGATCAAGTGAGGATCGTAAAATTTCTGGTTCAATATTTTGTCGTTTTAATTCTTGATCTTCATATAAACGAACACAATGACCACGTGCTGTTCGTCCAGCTCGGCCTTTACGTTGATCAGCTGATGAACGTGAAATACGAACAGTTTCAATAACAGTTAAACGACGTTTAATATCATAACGAGCTTCTTTTGCTAAACCAGAATCAATAACTAATCGAACATTTGGAATTGTTAACGATGTTTCAGCAACATTTGTACAGAAAACAATCATTCTTTTATCTGTTTCATTAAATTTAATTACTTTTTCTTGATCTTCAGGTGATTGAGAACCATATAAAGGAAGTGGAACACAATCATCAGGAAGTTTAGATTTAAATGTCTTCAATGCTCGTTCAATTTCACTTTGACCAGGAAGAAAAACAAGTGTATGTCCTTCATGTTTTGGATATAATTCAATAATAGAAGGAACTACATGTGATATAATTAGTTTTTGATCAGAACAATTAGGTGGTGGTGGTTTTTCAGCTGTAGTTACTTCAAAAACTCGACCTTCGACTTTTAATGGTGTACTAGTAGGACGATCAAAAAATTGAAGAAAACGAATCGGGTCAATTGTGGCTGATGCAATAACAACATAAAAATCATTGGGACGTTTTGAAAGTAAAAGTTTCGAAATACCAATGACAATATCAGTATTTAAAGAACGTTCATGAGCTTCATCCACAATCAGAACTCGTATATGTTTTAAATCAGGATCACGTTGACTTTCTCGAATCAATGCTGCATCAGTCATAAACATAATATCGGATCCAAGAACTCGATTACCACTACCAACTTGATAACCAACAGAATTCCCAACTGATTTTCCATCATATTCTTCAGCAACACGACGTGCTAATGAAAGAGCAGCAACAACACGTGGTTGAGTACAAACAATAAGTGAACCAAAATGTTCAGCAGCATATTGAGGTAATTGAGTACTTTTACCACTACCAGTTTCAGCAGTTACAATTAAAACATGTTCACGTTCAAGACGTTGACAAAAATCATCACGACGACATAGAATTGGTAACGACGCTTTTTCTCGCTCTTTATTTCTTTGTTCCAATGATTTTGAACTTATTTTCTTTGATTTTTGATTTTTCTTGTTCTTCTGTTGTAGATTGAGGTTACGTTCTGGTGAATGAATTTTCAAACATTGTTCATTTGTACAATCATCTCCTTCTTCACATGGATTCCATTGTGCTTGATGAAGACGAGTGCAATTAAAGTTTGAACATGTATCTGGTTGATCACATATAGATGGTCGTTCACTTGGATGATTAAGTTTGCAAGAAATTTCACGACATTCACCTCCTAATGGACAGAGTAAATTGCTACGTTCTTGTGGATGTAAACATAAACATTCTAGATTGGTACATTTTTCTTTATTGGGACATCGTCGAGTTCGAGTATGTGGATGTAATTTTTGACAATTCCATCGTTCACATTTTCCACGTAATTGGCACATTGTAGCACGTGTTCTGGGATGTAAAAACTTGCAATCTGCATTTTTGCAATTACTACCATTACGACATTGTATTTTTCGTTTGAAAGGATGATTAGCTGTACAATCATAATCGTCACATTGTTCTCCATCTATACATGGATTCCATCCATCTGGATGATCAAAAGTACAATCGACATTAAAACATTTGATACCGTTGCGACATTGTCCTCTCGTTGTGGGATTTGTAGATAGTGTCGAACTGATAGACTGGAATGAGTTTGTTGACGAAGAAGAATCGCTTCTTCCACGACCTAAGTCTGGTTTTGTGTGAGCTAATTCACATTTTAAATCTTTACATGATTCATAGTTTATGCAGCGTTGATGACGATATTTACATTCACTACTTTTCTCTCGACATGTACCTTTATTTGCATAACGACACAAAAATCGTTTATCTTCATTACCTTGCTTTTTCGTTACGTTTCTTGTTAATTTTGGTTCTGTGGACGAAGGTCTGGAGTCACATGGTTGATTTACTAATGGTTCGATCCTAGATTCAAATTGTGTCCGACTTGTTTGATCATTAGAACGTGATGAAACAGTACATTTAATTTTTTGTCCTTGAATTGAAGCACCTGACCATTGTTGTACAAATTCATTTGCGGCTTCTTCATTGACAAAACCATTGATCCATGCACAAGGATTATTATTATTGTTGAATGTTCTTGGAATAGAAACTCGCAATGTCCGTGGTAATCGAAATTCTTGAGCGAGTTTTGTAGAATCCATCGATGGAGGAAAAGAAGTAATTCGAACACTCCACTTACTTGACGTATTATTTGATGCCATTTTATTCTTTTGTAAAATTTAAATCTAATAATAAAAACTTTTCGATTTTAGAAATGATGTTGTTATGAAGAAAATAACACATTTTATTGTAGAATATATAACAGAAAAGTAGACTGGGGAAAAATATTCTTTGCTTTTGGGTTTTTTCTCAGTTTTTTTCTTGTTCTGCTGTTAGACATGTGAGACAATGCTTCGAACGGCGGCGGCAACTCGATTTTTCTTTTTTTTGTATGCGAGGGTGCAGTTGTAAAATTTCAGACCACAATAAATACTTTGTCATTGTGTTTTTTCCCAGTTTCTTTCTTGTTCTGCTGCACACAGTGGTGAAATAACATGAGTCAAGTTGTGCAACAGATTTCGCTGAAATTCTAACTGCCTTATCAAGAGTAAAGAAAAAACACATCTTATCTTCATAATAAATAACAAAGCAAAATATCTCAAGGCACTTTAGTGAAGTTTTAGGCGTAAATAGAGAACTATGGTGTGATGGATCAGAGAAACGCTCAACATCAGCCTAGAATATATTAAATTTGAATTAAAAGTTCTTTTTAAAATAATTCTTGAGGGTGTGGATATAGTTATCTCTAATGCAAAGAAAAGAAAAAAAAAGAGTTTTTTTTCAAACTTTGTATACACTGTAATAGACAGACCACTTTTAGTATTCTTTGCTTTTATCGAAAAGTAAGTAAATGCAGTCGGTATCTTTTTTTTCAAAAGTTATATCTGCAACATGCAACAATTTCAGGGTGGGTCTGGGCGTAGGACTCGTGTCTTCTCTTTACCTACACCCATACACTACTTTTTCTGATTTCAGATTATATTTTTGTTTCGTATTCTGTCAACTTTAAACCGATTAAAAAAATGGCTTTATGTTCAGACAGATTCGGAATAAACGTGTCTTGTGGTGAAAATGTAACAAGCATGCATTTTGATGATGATAGTTTGGTAAAATTAATTACAAATGAAATCATCGAGATTTTGCAATTGGATGAAGATGAAATAGGATGTGCAGTTATTAAGGATTTGTTGGAAAATGGTCGACAATCATTAGTCAAATATAAAGATGACATTATACCCAAAGTATATAATGAAGTTATGAACGGTACTGATACTCGATTGACGAGTTCATTAAAAAATTATTTTCGCCTAAAGTGGGAAATATTATATGGTTCAGCACATTCCTGGTTCATTTCATTCCTTCAACAGTATGAAAATGGAGAAAATCATGATATATATGAAGCTGTTTTGGCTCGTACAGCAGAATATGGAAATAAATATATGAACGATTATCCATTATTGTCAATTATTCTACAATTTCTTTTCGAAAGTATCGATGATGACTGTCTAGAGGGAAAAGATAATGTCTTCGATGATTTGTGGACGACAATAACTAATGATGGTTTACAATTAATAACAAAATATTCCGAGTATATTGTTAAAAAAGTATTGAATGAACAGTTAAAAACGGATTCAGTACTATTCAAAGTAGTACGCGAATATTATCGTCCAAATTGTTTTTTATCTCTAACACAAAGTTCTATTCCAAATAAGGGAAATATATACGAATTAGCATTAGATGATGTTGTTGAACATGGATGGTTAAGTAATATGAAATCTATTCAACATGATATTACACCAAGACGTTATGAAACCTTATTGAAAAACCTTCATTCTTTTTATAAGAAGCAAAAACTATCTGAAAATGAAGATTCGAGTGGTTCAGTCGCTCCAGCATTGAAGACCGATGTAAACGACGTGCAGCAAGGTAATGTACATCTAATAGGAAAGAAACTATTGAATTCGACATTGAGACTGTTCCTGATTTCACTGACATTTTGAATCAGTTCTTATTCCAAAATAACATATGATAATTTATGTAAATGGATTTGTTATTTGTATTCATTATTTAGAATCTTCAATCGAAACGAGTGAATCCAATATAAATCAACTGGAAATAATAGATGCAAAGCAAAATGTAATTTCAACGAATGAACCATTAGCAGATACTACAACTGATATCGATGTGTTGAATCATGCTACTACTACAACAAATATCGAGAATAAAGACGCTCAAAAAGGTATAGAAAAGTTCTTAAATATTTTATTTTCTATGATTCACAACTGAAACAAAACCAACAAGAATCAGTTACTTGGAGATGGTTTAGTTTCATAGAAAGAACATTAACAAGGTGTGTGTGGGGGTATTCTTCTCATTTATGATCAATACCCACACCCGCACTCACTTTGAAGATTCCAAAAATGCTATTTCTTTTCATTCTTTCAAGATAAACAAGAACAGGAAGATAATGAATCGAATGTCTCATATGATTCAAAGACTAATTCGGACGGCACTGATAACATGTTCGAATGTAGTAAAAATACTATATTCATTAGTGGGTTACCGGCGAATATGTCCAAGGAACGGCTGTTTGATAAAGTTAAAGATGTATTTTCTACTTGTGGTAATATTACAGTAAGTGAAATGGATTATCATAGAAAATGATGTTTATGCTCTATAATTTCATTTTCAGACCTATGGGAAAACAAACAAACCGGATATCCACTTATTTCCGAAAAAAGACAATAGATCTATACTTAATGGCACAGCCATGGTAAAATTTGAAAAAGAAGATTCGGTGATGAAAGCAATTGAAAAATATAATAGTGAGTTGATATATGAACATTCATAATCATCACAAGAATATATTCATTATTATTTATATTTCAGGAAAACAAGTACCAGCATTAGATAATAAGCAAATTAATGTTAGGTTCGGCAGAGTGAAGCGTGAAAAGATAGAAATACTATCGAAATCAACAGAACCAAAACCAAAAGCTAAAGATCATTTTGAAAAAGATCAAAATACAATTTATACAGAAGGTAGTGAAGAAAAACTTTTTGTTTACCACTAATGAATGATATAAATGTGTGGACTTATAGTAAAACAGACATCTACTGTCTACAAGTTTGTTTAAATCAAATTTTAAAAGTGATAAATACGTAGAAATAATATTTTGGTATAAATCGGAACACTTTGATAGCTTTTACTGTATTCAAGTGCTATACTTAAAATTGAATTCTCAGCTGTACAATCTTTAATTACTTTTTGTTTCTCAGTATATAGGCAACAACCAAAACGTGATCAATCTGTCAGTTCAAATGGTTCATTAAATAGAGTTACTGATTCTGTTGATACGCCAATATCCAGGAAGAGCGTGATATTTGTCACTGGTTTACCAACGAACATGCTTGAACAACGTCTGTTCGATACACTATGGGATGAATTTTCCAATGTTGGTTCAATTAAAGTAACTGAAAGGAAAATGCTATACAATAAATTTGATATTGTACTATTTATTTTTAAGATTAATCGAAAAACCAGCAGACCGTGTATATGTTTATTTAAGACAAAAGGTCTCAAGCCACAACTCACCGGAGCAGGAATGATCACATTTGAAAACGAAGAATCAGTTGAAAAGGCTACCAAGATTTACAATGGTGAGTTAAAATGAACTTCGATAATTATGAAAAGACTATATTTATTGTTTATGTTCCAGCGAAACAAGTATCTTTATTAAATAATAATCAAATAACTGCCAAGCGATTTAAAATAGGACCTGCTAAACCAACACAATCGTTTGAACCACGTTCGCAATTACTTCTTCAACCACCGTCAGTGCAAATGCCTCGACCAGGTAGTTAGCACTTAATAACAGCAAAAAGAAATATTTGAACTGATTGTGATCAATTTCAAGTCAAAACCTTAGAGTTGCATCATCTGTTCAGATTAACTTGAGAGATTCTTCTCTTTTGAAATCGCCTTGTAAAATAATTTGTCCTAATCCAATGTTCTAGAGAAGTAATATTTATTGAGAGAAACATTTTACATGTCGAGTGTATCTAGTGTTCACTGTTGATCCCGTTAAATATTCGGATTGATTAATCTATGTCTTGTTTTTTTTGTAGAAGATCAACCCGATGGACCAGTAAGCATCTTTTGGGATATCGAGAATGTACCAATTCCTGCCGGAAATGATGCTTTCGAAATAGTCCGCAAACTACGACAAAGATTAATAAGTGACCGAAAATTATCGGAAGGTACTTTTAAAACTTATTACCGCAACGCCAATCACATTCTTCCAGAACATCGAACCAATCTTCACTATGCCAATGTATTGGCACAACATATAGAAAGTATCAAGTATGGAGCTGTCGACATTCAAATTCATAAAGATCTACAACGGTTCATAGAGCAACATAAAACGTCTGCCACAGTGGTTCTTATAAGTGGAGACATTGACTTCATCAACGATATAAATGAGCTTCGGTATCGCCATAAACATTATACTATTATTATACATAATCCACAAGCGAAAGAGCAACTTTTGAAGACAGCTAACGAATTTATTCCTTGGGAAGAATTTATTGAGAAGAAATGTAATAATGAATCCAGAAAACAATGCACGTTCAAGACGTCAAAAAATCTGTCGAAGGAAGTTAAACAGTCTCAAATATTTAGTGTTGCGGTGCTAACAGACAAATTGACAAGAATTGCTAGTCCAAAGCAAAACCTTGACAAGACTCGTACATCCACTCCGCCGTTACAACGTCCACCATCGATAGCATCGAATTCACCCACCAATGCAAAACCCAGTCAGGAAAAACGACACAGAAATAAAACGAAGTATGTTTTGAATAAGTACCATCAATGAAGTTTTAATATCTAAGTGAGAACCTCTTCAAATTTTGATTCCAATTATAATGTTTTCTTTAAATAGTCAAGAGTTATAGAAATGAATGCGTTCTTTAATCGTACATTTAGTTTGTGTTTAAAATAACTGAGGAATTAAAACTGTACACTTCTCCGGCGAAATAATTTAGAGTTTCATCTCAAGATTATTATAGAGAGCAGTTTGAATATTAGTAGAGTCTATATCAGTATATTCATATTCATATTTCTTGTAGACCTAGTGCTCAATCGCCAGTACCATTGGTATTATTGACAAACGAAACTGAAAAATCTGAAAAGAAAAATAAGCCTGCTGAAGTCGAAAACTTGTTTGTATGCTCTATGTGCACTAGAAAATTTCCTACCGATGCCGGTCGAATTCAACATGAGCAAGATAAACATAAAGTTGGTACATTGGTCGACATATTTTCTACAACATCGACAAATGATACACAGAATCACAGTCAGTCATCTAACCACGACAATCTATTATATACTGATCTTATTGCCTTAACCTATGATGACGATGATGATGATGATTGGGATCTTTCACAACCGAATTTATCAACAGTAACGACTGGAACAAATCTTCCCGTAGAAGACATTAGTGATGGTGACAGCGACGCGTCTGAATCATCATTCACTCAAATTGAATGATAGCATGCAGTTTGAAACAAATTTTCCAAACAATAAGAAAGTGACAGAGATTACTATTGCCAAACGTATCAAAAAAGACGAATAATTTTATAATTCATTTTATTTTAATGATATTTTTGATTTTTATGATTTGAATAATTCCAAAGTAATTGAAACAATATCTTGAGGGCGATACTTGTCGGATAAATACAAGCCATGATGATCGATTTCAATTCCTACTTAGAAATGGGACTTTATCTTAGGGAAGTCTTCGATAGATCTGATCAGGTTTCTTCAAGTATATACCCTTTTTTCTTGAGGAAACGGCTGAATTCTGAAAAGAGCGTGCGGCCACGCAGTTTCAAAATCCTAACAAGTTCATCATTGTTTTCTAAGTTAAAATCGAGTCAGGAAATTGATAAATCCGGAAAGAAGCGTGTAGCCACAGAATGCCAAGATCATGTCAGGGTTTTTATCACTTAAATTTGAAATAAAAAAGATTTCTGATCGCATTTGTCAGAATATAGGTAGTTCTCCTCGAGTATCTTGTCAAATTGATTGGCAGGATCTTCTCAGGATTGGACTAGATTTCTTTCAGGGTGTGATTAGTTTCATAGCAGGATCTTTGCATAATTTTTTCAATAGAACAGAAAATATATGAACACATAGAGTATCGACATCTAGACCTTCAGTTTACATACCGATAGCTTACTCAGCTAGATGTGACATGTTATTCGATATCGCTCCAACATTCAAAGTCTTTATTTTCAAGTTTTATTTAAACTTCTAGCTGAATTTTTGTAAATCTTGAGGATGTGAGTGTGGGTGAACGTGGATGCGCTTCAAGAGATGGTACATCTACACCCACACTCTCAAGAGAATGTAGTTTTCCATTCTAATAAATATATTTTAAAGGTGCATTCTCATCAAAGTGAGAATGCAGGTGAAAGTATCTTCTATAGTACCATAGCACTCATACCCTGAAAAATGTGAGAGTAAGAATGAGAAATGAATAGTCATGTGTATACACCTTATTTCTTTTTTTTCTGACGTAGTAATGTCTGTCGGTATGGATGAGTGTGGGTGGGGTGTGCGAGTGTGTTATGGATATAGAGACTGTGGATGTCAATTACAACAAATATAATACTGACACCTACACACCCACAACCACATCCACACTGACACCCTCTATAGGCTCTATAAGTCGCTCTTTCTCGTTAACAAGATTTCGGAGTTATTCGGAGTCAAAAAAGTTGACTCCGTAGGTCCCGAACACCGACCCAAACTCATTCACCCACACTCTCCTCTTCTCATTGGAATTGTTGTGTTTCGCTAATTTTCGATGGAACTTGCTGTTGTACACATGCAGATTACTTTTATCGCTTGACAGGATCTGTAATAGGATCGAAATCATGATTGTGGCACTTAATTGTGTACACTCTCTCACCGTCAAGATGGGATAGTGTTGCTGACTTCTAAAGATTTCTCTTTTTTCATTCGAATTTATCTAACACCTGTTACACACATGAGCATGTTTTTGATATTCAGCAAAGTGGGAGAAACTTTGCAGTGCAAAGTTTGCACGTAAAACAATCGACTTAAATTCTTCTTGAATTACTGGAATCTATTTATTTTTGAAAAAACTAAATAAAAGGAAATATAAAAAGAATTGAAATATTTGAGTTATTCGTTCCATAAAATGGTCATTACACGTATTTAAGGGTCGCGAACTGTGCTGGAGTATTGTTCTCATATCCGTAAAACTGACTCATTTTTGGAGCGACTTGCGACCAAGCTTTTTTCAAGACAATTTCCCATTTATTATCATTAATTGGCCGAATATTACTCCAAGAATTGAAATTTCTTTTAATATGTTCTAGAAATTTAAGATAGGTAGAACTATGTTCATAATCTCCAACTTTAACATAACTCTTTTCAGTGTCATGTTCAACAGTTCCGGCAAACGTTTGTATATTATTATTACCATGCGTTTGAATTCTGACTTCATATGCAGAAGTTTCACCCGCTGTACCTTTTGGTCCATCAAAGTAATTTACAAATACTTGATATATTCCATTTTTGGCTGGTTTAAAAAAGACATTTTCTGCTGGTTTAGTAGATGAGCATTTTCTGTCATAACATGAACCTTGATGGTAGCAGACATTCATATCCAAGTCTAGATATCCTGCACAAGTAGGACACTCCTTGTTTCCAAAATAGAGCGTAGTTCCACAAGGACAAATAACATGTAAATCTAAATCATTGCTATCAAACCAGACTAATGTTATTGTTACATCTCCTTGTCCAACTGAATATTCATTCATTCTCTCTCTAATAACTGCACTGTCACGAATCAAAAGTTGACTTGCTGAATTTTCTTTCCATTGACTGTTTCGTATTGTATTTTCACTGTTACATAAATCAAAAACAAAACCTTTTTTGCCATTGTTGAGTTTTTCAAATGATCCATTGAATGCCATTAATCGATGTTTATCGGAATGATGTGCGTCGTGACGCTCAGTTATTTCTGTGCATTTGCAACCACAATACGGACATTGTTCAATACATCCTAAAGCTTTTTGTTGGTTTGCAATTTTGATTCTATCTTTTTCTTTTAAAGTCTCTTCAGATAATTTGAAACTGCCACGATTTCTCTTGCGATCGTTATATAGAGAAGTTATGCTATTTTTAAAAGACGTTAAGAATACTTTTGGATTGCTTATAGAATAGATTGAAATGGATATAGTCTGAAATAATTTACTAGGTTCCAATAAATCTTTGTTACAATGATGGTAAGTCAAATTTAGTTTTTTCAAATAATCATCAATTAATTTGTTATCGATGTTTTGTTCAAGATAAGCTTTGAAGAACTTTGTAAAATGTGTTTTGTGAGTATCTATATGGGCTGGATCGTAATAGTAATTCATAAAAATCTTTTCTAATTCTTCTAGTTTACTTATCAAATTTTTATACTGTTGTTGAGACATTGTATTATAGTTATTAATGCATGCGTTTTCTGATTCAACAGCTTTGTTTTGAAAATATTCTAAGTATTTTTTTTTCATATAATCAATCATATTTGTAATATAATCATAGATACCATCTTTATTAAATGTTCCGTTTTTTTCGTAAAAAACTTCATCCGATAGTTCGACTAGTTTATCTGCATTGAGATATGTTGCTTGTTCGAGATCACGCTTATAATCGATTTCTATTCTTGATACACAAATATTTTTGATATTGTTGAATACTTTCGTAGCCATGTCTTTTGCATTCTCTGCATCTCCAAAAGCAGCATCGAGTCTCTTTTTAAGTTCTTCTAATAGTACATCAACATCTTTTTCAAAGTCTTCATTTATTTTTCTGTATGTATCTTCTTCGTCTTTATACATTTTATCAACGATAATTTCATATAACCATTCAATTAGTTCATTTCCGAACATGTGTGTAAATTCCAGATGTTCCTCTTCTAAAAACTTTTGCTTGAGTTCATTCTTTTTTGCTTCAATTTGCAAAATATTTTGTTTTAAACTCGTGATTTGATATTCAGCACTATTAATTATTTCTTGTTTAATACTGTCTTGGAGGTATTCATTCATTTCAAGAAACGTAGTGTAAACGGTAACAGCTGCATCTGGACTGAATCCGACTTCGCTTAGTTTTGTAACAGCTACATTATACTGGCATGACGGAGAATCATTGTTTTGTGTTGTATTTGATGGTATGTATGAAAATGACGAAGAACGATTTCTTCTTCTTTTTGAGTTATGAGTTTCTGACTGAAAGAAAGTTGAAATCCACGAAGTCGCTTGATTCCATTTAGTTTTTAAGAAATTTGATTGTTTTTCGGTATATATTGGATTTTCTGCTGAATTATTAGCGTTCTCCTGATGAGAAGACTTTTGTTTGTTCTGAATAAGTATTGGTATTTTTCTCAAAATAGCCATATTTTGTTCAGGCGTATCCGACATATTGATAAGTTTAATAATATTATTTAATGAAGTACTTTGTGACGATCTTTGATCGAGTTGAGTTACGCTAAAAAACATCTTTTCAACTGCTATGGCACCTACTGCAGATTTAATTTGTTGCATGACAAAATCTCTCCATTGAGAAATGGTTTTCTTATTCTTATTCATTTCTGTCAGCGTTTGAACTTTAGTCTTGTCTATATAGTCTTTAAAATCGTTAATAATGGCAGCTTTCTTCTTTAAATTTTCGTTCTCAGATGTATCTTGCTGAACTTTTTGCCATTCAAGAATTTGTAATTCACTACGGTTTTGCAGATCGATCAAAGCAGCTTGAACTTTATTTTTAACCTTACGTTTTTCGGCGATTGCTTTGTATTTTTGAAGTGCCTGCGCTTTGCTTGTTGTAATAGCATATAATAATCGATCCTTGTATTCATTCATTAATTTGACTGCGTAGGATTTCGATTTGACTTGCTCTTCAAAATTGTGTTTTACTTGGTCTCTAAAATATTCCGATTCGTCTTCAAATTGTTGTTCAACATTTGATTCTGCTAAGAGCGGATCATCTGTCACTTTTTCTTGATCTGATAGTATTGCTTCAAGTTTTGAACGAAAACTTGTTTTCGCATCATTAGGCTCGATATATTTTTCCATGATCATTGTAATAAGATCGCCTAGTTCTTTTCTTTCATTAATTTCTTTGACAGATTCAATCATAATCATATCATTGTATAAATCAATTGTTTCCCAAATGTCAGACGCCTGTTTAACCCAATCTGAAAGACTTTTAAATTTTGGTTCGGGTACATTTGCTTCATCAAAGATTTTCTCTCTTAGCTCTTGACTAAGTTTAGCAAATTTAATATTTGTAGTTGATCTTTGAAAAAGTTCTTCCGTCTTATTATAAATATAATCTTTGTTAAAAGCTGATAACATTAAGAAAAAGGCCTTTTCTTCTTTGAAATCAAGTACTTGATTTAATTCAAGTTTACTCAGTTCAGTAACTTCTATTAATTCTTTTTTAATAGAATCGATCATTTCTCTTTGCTTATCAACGTTTAAATCCATCATATTTCGTAGAATAAATATAATAATTGGCCGAGTCTTGAATACTTTCAATTGATTAGCAACAAAAAGACTAATACTGAGAATTTTTTTCATAGATGCATTAATTTCTCCATTTAAATTGATGAGCATTATCTGTGAACAAGCCATTGAGAATAAAGTTAATTTTTTATCATATTCATCATTTGCTTTTTCTATAGATAATAATCCTTCTGTGTCCAGCACAAGCAATGTTTTTGCTTTTGGATATTTTGTTCCAAAAATGGATGCATATAAACCTTTTGTACATCGTCCAGCACTCGTTTGAAAATTACTTCCAAACAACATATTTAAAAGAGTCGACTTTCCTGTACTCTGTGGTCCAATAACCGAGACAACAAATGGTGGTCTGTCATTCATTTCACTATATCTTGTTTCAAGTCCGTGAAAAATTTGTGAAACAATCTTAGAATTGAAACTATTATTATCACCATCAATAATTTCAAGTTCATTTCCACGAATCATATAATCGATAAAGGACGTTATATAAAGATCTTTGTTGAAATTAATTTCTCTTGATTCGTTTTGAGATTTTATATATTCGAGAAAATCATTATCACCATAAATAGAAAGTAATTCTCTCATAAAAATATCTCTATTAATTGTTTTATAATCAATTAATAGCGAAATTTCTGCTTTTCGTTTTTCTAATTTATCTTTTCGAGTATGATGCTTTTGTAATTCTGTAGAAGTATTATTTTTTGATTGAAGATCAGCGATTAATGTTCGACATGATTCTAATTCAATAATAACATTGTTTCTTTCAAGAAATAATGGAGATAAAATAGGACTTTGCCAAACACTAACTCGTTTATCTAATTCACTGATTAAATGAAACTTTTCTTCTAAAAGTAGATTGTTGTATAGACAAACTATTTCACTGGGTATTGTTTTTGATTTCTTTTGAGATAACAGTAGTATGTCTTGATCAATTTTAGTCAACCCTGTTTGTTTCTCTTCTGTATCTTTACCAATAAGTTGAACTTTTTTGTTTGCTTCAGCTTTTATAGTCTTGTTCCACGCAATATGTTTAAATAAGGAATCTTGCAGATTCTCGACTCCTGTGCCAATATTCGTTAAATGTTCATCGATTTTACGAGAAAATTCTCTTATCGAATTCTCTTGAATGTCTATATATATATTTTCATATCGATCTTGATGGATTTGTTCTTCTATCTTTAAATAAACATTATAATTTTCTTTTCGTAATTCATTTCCATTCGGTTTTTTAGCAGTACGACCAATGCCAGTTAGTTTAAATAATTTTTCTCTTAAAGCTACTAAATTTGCATTGAATGCAGGATTATTTTCTTCAATTTTACGAATAGTTAAAATTTGATATTTTTCTTTATTCATCAACTTTTCTATCTGTTGTTTTGCTGCATCTGTATTATCTCTAATAATACAAATAATTTGATTATCATTGACACCAAATGATATTAACTTTTTCATCATTACTTCGATTTCACTTAAAGATGTACTTTGAAGAAGTAGCCAACAGTTTTCCAATGGTATCATTTTTAAAAATACTTTCATAAGCTGTTCTTGTTTGCAAACATCGCCATGAATATCGAATATGGTGAACCCACAAGCAAATTCTGATGTCGAGAATAATACATCAATTCCACCATTTATAACACCAGCTGTATTTGTAACAAATTCTGCACAATAGATTTTATTTAATAATCTACTTTTACCAATTGAATCAGATCCGAGAGAAATGACAAACGGACAATCGATGGCCAAACAATGTGAATAAGCTCGAAGAGGAATTTTCCATATTAACTTTTCGTCAACTACCCATTGGTATGCAAATGGTAAAGCAATACCAAGTTTCTTGACCAGTGATAAAAAATTGATTTGATGAGACTTATAACGCTCAATTAGACATACAAATATCGTTTTGTAATCAAGTCCATATAATGGTGATGTTTCATCCCAGAATATTCCTAATTCACAAATTTCTCGTAAATCAATTTCTTTTTTCAGTTTGTTTAATATATAAGGTAACATAGTATCTAAAAGTGAGCCATTGTTAGTATTTTTCATTTCGCTTTCAACAAGTGTTTCTAGCTGATTATAATCTAATGGTGATATTTCTGTAAATAATTGATCTGAATATATATCATTGTTTCCGAACATGATTTTCTGAAGTTGTTTAATAACTTGAATTTTTTCATTTTGAACATTTTCATTCGATGAGGAACATGATAGTTCTTTGTTAGTATCGATAGTATTTGATGTGTTAATACTCTTTTCATGAAACACTTTACATCTAATTTCTGGATCGTTGTACAAATTCGACTTGATTTTACTGAATAGTTCGTTAGTACATTTGCTTTCGATTAGTTTCATGCCATTTTCTGAATCGACATATAATTCAGAGATTATTTTATATATATCATCAACGTTACTAGCAAGAAATCCAGCAAGTATACTTTTAATGTTACTAAAAATTAACATATTTGATGACCAAATTGACTTCAATTTTTCATTTGATTGAAGTTTTACGATTAGTTGTTTAATTTTTTTGGGAGTTAAAAGATCTTCAAAAAGATCAGCGATATTTTGATCCTTATTTTCATAAAGTTTTTGTAGAAATGGTTCAAGAACGGATTGCTCCAACTGACAATTTTCTGATTGAAGCATTTTCACCATTTCTAACTTAAACTGATTGAAAAGATTGTTTTCTTCTTTGATCGTCCCAAGTTTCCAAATCTCATTGATTCGAGGATGTTCAAGAAATTTCTTGGAAAAAGCAATATAATTCTTCTTTATCAGCAGATCTTCAATCTGTTTTAATGCTTCTTTCTCTTGGTTGTAAAGAAGACGAGTAACTTCGTTAAAATCTAACTCTTCGATTGGAACTTTAAATTCCAATAAGAGTTCCTTTAATATGCTCTGAAACTCCGGAAATAAGTTTAGATCAGTATTCATTGCTGAAATAAAAACCAAAATTTTCATTATAATTGTATAGGGAATTTGAGGGTGTGGGTGTGGATGAATCAAGGATGGCCCTACGTCTACACCCACCCTCTATTCTTTAGTACCAATTATTCTCATTCGTATTTTGGAATTTAAATAACTGGAAGGCTTTTTTTATTCAATCACTTCATGTTTTAGTATAAATTTAAAGACATTTTTAATTGCACTCCAACATTCTAAGATTTAGTAAAAGACACGAACATAAAATACGTTAGTTCGACATCATACAGTTCAGAGATCTAGTGAGAAACTTCTATTCTGAGGTAAGTTTATTTTACGGATCGCGTTCTCCGTTCACATAATATTTGAGGCAATCTTTTATTGGATATATCATGACCGAATAGTTTTATGAAAATGGATTTCGCGTGACATAGTATTCCTATATAACATAGCAAAATATTCTAGGCACTCTTTGAAATCAGAGCAACTGACACTTGTAAGTGTAAGGAAAATACGTGTTATCGAAGAGAACAGTAAACAAGTGAAAATAAGAATAAAGAAGACCTTATAGATGAAGAAAACTGCTTATTACGAGAAAGGATTTATAGGATCATAAACGAACATAGATATAAGTTTGCTGACTTATTTTACGATAATATGTTAGAAATGTTACTATCTTCTGGGTGTGGGTGTATTTTCTCTTAACTTGCAATCCCACTTCCACTGGGTTGTGATAGAAAACAATGAATAATGGGGGAAAACTTCGAAAACTTTCCAAGAATTTGAGAATATGAATGAGACATTGTGCGTCATTCATGAAACTTTTGTCTGAATAGCTATGCAAACAACGGAACTTCTTCACTGTAAAAAATAAAGGAACTTTCCTGAAGCCAACCTCGTTTTTTTAAACGTGTGACACATTAAACATACAACTGTACTTTAGACTTTCTAAACTCCGGATGCGTTCCGTGAAATATAATAGCATCGGAAGAACGAAGTGCGCCGTTTCTCATCTAATCCATTCAGAATTTTAACGCACATTTGTTGATCAACACGTACCCTGTTCAGCATCTTGAGCAGATGCATATGAGTTTCGTGTGTCTTTTGCACATGCTGCTGAGTCCGAATGCGAAGGCGTGGATTTGGTTTCAGGAATTTCTTTTGGCACAGGCGTTTCGTAACGAGAATTGGTATGTTCGGGCGGCCCCTGCGATTGATTTGTCGAATTGAAGTTCAGTCTTTGTCCTGACGACGCGTCCGTTTTCTTCTCTCCAATCATCTGTACCTGTATTTCATCCGTTGATATACGGTCGGATAAGAGCTAGAAATAAACTTAGTCAACAGTTATCGTATTGAGATTTAAAAAGGCCTCTTGCAGTTTTCTTACTCAGTTTATTTAATACTTCTGAGGAAGGAGGATCATTCATTCTATTCAGCAATGTTGAACATTGCAGGAATCAGTTTCTTCCCAATTGCTGAAACTCGATGGTCACACTAAATGAGAAGGTCTACTCGACTCTGATCGACTTCCGTCAGTTCCTGGAATTCCGAGGCGAAGCTGATTACGGTTAGAACGATAGAACAGTCACGACAGAAAATGGTGAGTCGGTAATTTACCGTTACGCTATATGCCTACTCTACACCAACACCTATTCTAACGTTCTATCTTCCAATCACCATCCTAAACCAATACGTACACTCATACCTTACCTTTTTTATTGATTCACATATTGGATCAATTCCAGTGTGAACGCCTAAAATCTTTTTCCATTTCTTTGCCCATACTTCATGCCGCGCTTTGTTGCCACAAAAAATGTAGATAGCAACTACGTTTGGCATATCATGAATCTTTGACACTAAATCCTGACCTAAAGCACCAGAACAGATGACTAACGCTTTCTTATTATTCGTTTCTTTGAGCCAGTTGATGCATTGTTCTGATTCTGTACAGCTTTGCACTTCTTTAACGATCTTGCTGAATTGGGCAAGTACTTTTTGAGAATCCTCATTGTTTTCATCGATAGTTCCATCAATCCAAATGATCAGATAATTCTCAGCCAGTGGTATAGTCCCCGGTACACTCACTAGTTTGTTGACAAATGACGATCCATAAACTGTCTGCAAAAGTTTTAATTTAGAGTATACTTCTCAACCATAAATGGAAGAAACACGAACATTCAACAATATAATTAATGACTTTTTTAATCGAAATTTCCATTCTATTTTTATATACATACGATATACTTAGTAATATATCGCGTTAGACACTCTCTCTCTCTGATAATGTGTTTTTATAGATTCTGAGGGTGTG